CCCGGCTGGGGGACGCCGGGACCATGACTTCGGCGAACGACTACGAGCAGCTGGAGCTGCAGCAGCAGTACAGCCGCATCAACGTCCGTTGGGACGCCTCCGACGATGAGCTGGACAACGACAACAGCTCCGCGCGCCTCTTTGAACGCTCCCGCATCAAAGCCCTGGCAGGTCAGGGACGGGTCTGGGGTCCTCTACCTCCTCTCCGCTTGTCCCTTCCGCCGGAGCACCCGCGTTGCAGACGAGCGGGAGGCCGTGCAGAAGAAAACCTTCACCAAATGGGTGAACTCGCACTTGGCTCGGGTCACCTGCCGCATCTCGGACCTCTACATGGACCTCCGGGACGGGCGGGTGCTCATCAAGCTGCTGGAGGTGCTGTCAGGAGAGCTTCTGGTAGGACTCCCATCAAGCCGGAGACCCTGGGACCCAGGCCAATGCCATGCCATGCCATGCCATCCCATCCCATCCCAACCCATCCCATCCCATCCCATCCGTTCCACCAAAGCTGTTGACCTTGGCATTGGCCAAGGCTCTACTAGGGTTGGGGTGGCATGGGGATGTCCCCAGGCAGGGGCGGGGTTGCCCGGCATGAAGGGGAGTTCCTGACGGCTGTCGTACCTCAGCCCAAGCCTACCAAAGGCCGGATGCGGATCCACTGCCTGGAGAACGTGGACAAGGCGCTGCAGTTCCTGAAGGAGCAGAGGGTGCATCTGGAGAACATGGGCTCCCATGACATCGTGGACGGCAACCACCGCCTCGTCCTTGGCCTCATCTGGACCATCATCCTCCGCTTCCAGGTGGGGCCGGGTTGGTGGGGGCACCCCACAGCTCAGCATCCCATGGCTCATTCCCAAGCGGGAGCTCTCCTCCGTGGATGTCCTCTTCCAACCCTGGGATGTTCTTCTTCCCCCAGATCCAGGACATCATCGTGCAGACGCAGGAGGGCCAGGAGACACGCTCTGCCAGGGACGCGCTGCTGCTCTGGTGCCAGATGAAGACGGCAGGGTAGGTGGTGGGACACACGCCCCACCGTGCCGGAGACAGGGAGTGCCTGGAGGGTGACGGTGACACACTCTCCCTGTCGCAGGTACCCCCACGTGAACGTCACCAACTTCACCTCGAGCTGGAAGGATGGGCTGGCCTTCAATGCCCTCATCCACAGACACAGGTAGGTGGCACAGCAGCGGGACATGGTGGTGGCACCGGGGCATGTTCCATGGGTGCGTCACTGCTCTCCCACGCCCTCTGTCCCCAGGCCCGAGCTGGTTGACTTCCAAAACCTGACCAAATCCAATGCCCGACACAACCTGGAGCACGCGTTCAGTGTGGCGGAGCGGCACCTGGGCATCACCCCACTCCTCGACCCCGAAGGTGAGGCTGGTGCTGCCAACCCTCCTGCCTCAGTTTCCCCACGACATCCTGGCACATGCCCAGGCTCCATGGAGGGGCAGAGAGGTTTCCACCCCATGGAAGTGGGGTCTGGGTGGGAGCAAGGGGGCACCTCATGAGACCGCGGTGGCCCATTGCCACTGGAATGATGGGACTGATGCCTCTCATGCCGGGCAGATGTCTTCACGGAGAACCCAGATGAGAAGTCCATCATCACCTACGTGGTGGCCTTCTACCACTACTTCTCCAAGATGAAGGTGCTGGAGGGGGAGGGAAGGCGTCTGGGCAAGGGAGGGG